GTGGCTGAATGGCAGCTTTATAATTATAATCTCCACCCTCCGCCCCCAGTTTGATTCATTCATGGAGTGGCACCTTTTGTTTAACTTTAATCATGGGAGTAATTTTTCGTTTAATCACATTTAATCAGAAAGGTGGGTCCATTGTAATTGGATCTAAATAGGAAGAATGAATAAGAGTCAGTGAACTGTATTCTTTCACATTCATTCACTCTGGGTTCTCTTATCGTTAAATGCTTTAACAGGAAAGTGGTGTCATGCAAGAGCAAATACCTAAAACAACTGAATGCCAAGGTTCTGTGGAGACGCAGGGCTCTGTCTCACACAGACCCCATGAAATTAGAGATCTTTTTTGTCTCCTTTCTGTGCTGAATAAATGCAAAAGGCAAGTGATCCTTCTTGGATTAAATGGAAAATTCCTTCTTTCCTCCCTCAGTCTGTGGCACTAAACAATAGGCTTCTCAGTTTGAAAACAGTCACCAACCTCATGGCAGAATGAACTTTGAACCCAGTTCTTTTGTACATAAATCAGTGACTTAGATGTGTAGCCAATTGCTTTATCACAAAATTACAAAATATTTTGCACATAAAAGTAGTCATTTCCAGCTGGCGTTGTGGTTCAGTGGTAGCGCATCACCTAGCAAGCTCGAGGCCCTGGGTTCGATCCTCAGCACCACATAGAAACAAATAAAGGTATTGTGTCCAACTACAACTAAAAAGTAAATATTTAAAAAAAAAAAAAGTAGTCATTTCTAACTCAAATTTTCAACTTGAATAATGGATACAGAGAATGTTGGTCAAGTTTCTGAATCGTCTTTTTACATACAGAAAAGTGAAAAACATATCAATGTACAGGTTAACAAATGAGTGTCAAATTATCACCCAAGTCAACACCTGAATTAAGAAATAGAAACTTACCAGCCCCTCAGGAGCCCCCAATTTATCATCCCACTCCCAACCTTCCCCTCCTCTTTAAAGGTAACTACTGGAAATTTGGCTACTGTGACTAAAGGACAGAGCTTTATCATTTGATTTTATTTTTATTTTTTGGCACCAGGCATTGAACCTAGGGGCTTTTAACCCCTGAGCCACATCCTCAGCCCATTTTATATTTTATTAGAGTCTTGATAAGTTGCTTAGAGCCTCAGTAAGTTGCTGAGGCTGGCTTTGAACTTGCGATCCTCCTGCTTTGGCCTCCCAAGCCACTGGGATTACAGGTGTGCACCACTGCACCTGGCTATCATTTTGTTTCATTTCAATTCATTCAAATCTAAAAATCTATCTGTGACAAGGGCTACTATATTGGACAGTGCAGATGTAGAGGATCAGAACCACCTATGGAATTCCTGCTTGTGAAATGTGATCTATTTTCCCTAGGAGGACATTACTGACATCCCCAAGCTTGCAGACAATCTCAAATTGTTTAGGTAAGTAGCTTTTAAGGAGAAAAGGAATCCCCCATAACAAAGCCTTGCAGGTAGAGTTCAGAAGTGTAAATTGCACATCTGTTAGCCAAGTTCATCATTCAAAGGTAAGATTATAGACTTCGGTATCACATAGTCAACCACGTGCACTAGCCAGGTGACTTGGGGTATTTTCATGCCTCTGAGTCTCAGTTTCCTGAGCTATAAGATGGGAATATAACTCCTGTTAGGTTCTTTGGGAGGATTCAATAAAATTTTGCAAATGAAGTATTTTAACATGGTTACCTGGCTTTTAGTACTTACTCACTAAACAGTGGTGTAAACATCACCAGCATCAGTAATAATGAACATACATACCAGGTTAGCATTTCTAGCAGGTTCCACCCGGTAGGCTCAGGACTCTGACACCGTTTGACACAGTACTGTGGCAGAACTTTGATCCTGCCCTTATAGAGAGAGTGGTTAACTTTGTTTATCTCCTCTCCCTTGTGAAAATGGTAGTTGATTTGAAACTGTTAAAAAAAGGCAGAGGGGTCCTGCATAGTGGTGGGTGCCTGTAATCCCACATACTCAGGAGACTGAGGCAGGAGGATCAGGAGTTCAAGACCAGCCTGGACCACTTAGTGAGACTCTGTCTCAAAATTAAATTTTAAAAAGGCCTGGGTGGTGGCTCAGTGGTGGAGTGCCCCTACCTTCAATGCCCAGTACCAGGGGGGTAAAAAAAAAGGCAGAGAAAGTTAACATTTTGTTTTGTTTGTTTTGTTTTCATGGAAAGAAAAACCGCCACCTTTATGAATACCTAGGCATGTTAGGATGAAAGAAATAAGGCATTTTGAAGGTCTATCAGTTACTTAAGTCACTCAATGGTTTGTTGACTTTTCTTAACAAACCAACACTTCACTGAGGGCAGCTGGCTTTAAAAGACATGCAAACAAAAACTTGGAAAGAAGAACCATGAACCAGGCATAAACGAGTAACAAGAGTCCAAAGGTAACTGTAAGATCAGGCAAAGGCGGGCGGCAATCAAAGGAGGCGGATTTTAAAAGGCCACTGAATGAGGCTTTATTGGGGATATCACTCCCAGGAGGAACTGGATCAGACAGACATAGTGGACAGGAGAAGAGTCTGAGGAGAAACCCCATGGGAGCTTGACCCGACTGGGATTTTATGGGGCTCACGACAGGCAGGGGTTGGGACAGGAAAGGGGATTTTTAGGGTCCCTCGTCCCTCTGGGGTTGGTCAGGGGAGCTGGCTGAACTCCAGGATTGGCCAGGGGTTCTGTTGATTGACAGGCGTTAGTTAGGAGATCCCGCTGATTGACAGGCGTTCCCCCGCCCCCCCCCCAATATTTGCCACTGGATTTCCATAGTTTGTTTGTTTAGGTTTTTTGGTTTTTGTTTTTTTAATGCAATTGTAGGTATGGCCTCAAACAATAAGGTCATTCATTTATTATCTGTCATATAAATAGTTGTAACCATAACTGACTTATTGGTATAGTCAAGAGTGGCAAAGAAAAAATAATTATTTGAAACCACAAATATACCTTGATATAATATTCATAACTGTTCTACAATGAAACTGAAAGGCCATACTCTCTTTGTAGAATAAACCCAGCTCTTCATAAACAAATGATGACAGGACCCTTCCTGAAAGTGTTCTAGATGTTTCAGTGGAGGAGATGATAGGTCAGAGTTAAGTCCTCACATCTGCTTCACCTATGCTACCCGAAAGGCGTTTGGTGTGACAGTTACACTCAATTCACAAAACTGCCATTGTATCTGACCCATGGGCACTTTACCTACCAGAGGTCTCAAGACCCCGGATATAATGTATAATACAATTCATGGGAGGAAAACATGAAGAAAGAAAGCAGAGGGGGAGTGGGAGATAAGGGGAGGGGAGGAGATTGGGAGAATAGCTCTATTCCTAGGAAGAAGGTGAACACTAACAGGTCCTTCATCTCCCTGGGCTTCTTTCCTTTTCACAATGAGAGTATTGGACTACTCCTTTTATTTATTTATTTATTTTCATTTGCAATAAAGCTCTTTCTTTTTTCAAAATAAAATCTACAGAACCCATCCACATGTGGGCTTTGGTTTCCAACAACATGACATCAGGTCTAATGCAATCCCCAATCCTGCTATAATGACATAGAAATGCTGGAGGAAATAAAAGAATCGTAAATACAATATGGATCATAAAGAAACTGAGAAATATCAGGTTTTCAGAAAATCAGAGGGGACCTGGTTCTCCAAGTGAAGCCTCAGCCACACAGGAGGATTGAAGGGCATGGATAGAGGTTCTCCTGGCTTGGGGCTGATACTTTATTTCCATGTAGGGATAGGAAATAAACGTTATGGCCTACATGAAGCAGGAAGCCTGGTGAAGCACCTGCCTAATAGTGCAGACTTGCAGTGGCTGTTTTCTCTATTTAATGGGGAATAGAAAAATTACCATCAGCTCAAGAAATCAGGAAGGAAGTTCATCCTTGCACTGAGTTCTGTGCGGGAAATGAAAAGTCTATCTTGAGAAATCAGGGCCAAGCCTTGTGACACACACAGATGTAGGTATGAATTGAAATGTCTTATACGATAAGGGAAAATTAAATAGAAACTGGTCTGGGATCACAAAATCTAGGAAGCCTTAGCAAATGCAGCTGTAAAAATATTCAGAGAGAAATATCCACAACCAGGCATGCACAGGGTTCTATAGAAAACATTAATTACCTAAAAAATGAGGTCCTCCTGGACGCAGTGGCACATACCTGTTATCCCAGCAACTCTGGAGGCTGAGGCAAGAGGATTGAAAGTTCAAAGCCAGCCTTGGTAACTTATTGAGAACCTGCCTCAAACTAAAATTTTTTTAAAAAAGAAAGAAAGAAAGAACTGGGGGCCGGGCACAGTGGCACATGCCTATAATTTCTGCGGCTCAGGAGGCTGAGGTAGAAGGATCACAAGTTCAAAGCCAGCCTCAGCAAAAAGCAAGGCAGCAACTCAGCGAGACCCTATCCCTAAATAAAATACAAAATAGGGCTGGGAATGTGGCTTCGGTGGTGAAGTGCCCCGAGTTCAATCCCCAGTACCAAAAAATAATAATAATAATACTAAAATAAAAGTTAAGGGCTGAGGCTGTAACTCCGTGGTAAAGTACTTGCCTCGCATGCATGTGTGAGGCACTGGGTTCAATCCTCAGTACCACATAAAAATACATAAAGGTACTGTGTGTTCATCTACAACTAAATAAATATTTTAAAAAATAATGAAACAAAAGTATTTTTTAAAGGAATCACTAGGGATGAAGCTCAGTGGTACAGTACCCCTGGATTTAATCCCCAGTGCCAAAATATTTTCTAAAAATTAAAAATAAGCTCCCAATAAAAAAATGAGAACCGTGGGCTGGGGGTTGTGGCTCAGTGGTAGAGTACTTGTCTCGCACGTGTGAGACATGGCTTCAATTATAAGCAGCACATATAAATAAATAAATAAAAGTCCATCAACAACTAAAAAAATATTTTTAATAAAAATGATGACCATGGAGATAGTCAAAGAAGTTTCAGATCTTTGGATACTCTCAAAGATCAATTAAAATGGAAAAGAAGGATTTCATTCTTGATTTGTTGTTTTTCTGGGTTCTGGGGATTGAACCTGGGCCTCCAGAGTTCCAGGAAGTATGCTATACCACTGAGCTATATCCCCAGCCCTCTTTATTTTTGAGACAAGTCTCATTAAGTTGCTGAATCTGGCCTTGAACTTAGGATCCTTCTTCCTCAGCCTCCCAGGCCTGTACCACCATGCCCTGATGTACTTAATTCTAAAGAGAAATAATTAGATACCTAGGATTAAACTAAGACTTTGGGATCTTCATCTTTTGGTTATAAGCTGTGTTTTTAGATTTTATTTTGAAAATACCGTCAGACACTGAGAATCTGAATATTAAACAAATAGTCTTTTGAGTTTTTTTCTGCAGAATTACATTAGCTACCTCTCACAGCATGAGAAATACTGTTTTAATATAGTAGTTTTTCTTAGTCCTGGTTGTGTTAATTCTGTAGAATGATCTTCACATTTCTTTCATATTTTTTACACACTATTCCCCTTTAGTACATTGAGGTTTTTGTTTGTTTGTTTGTTTTAAGATGAACATATTCTCCCTTAACTTTGTACTAAGGCTAACACATTTAGCTAAGGGAAGCCTAGTACTGACATATTAAAAGACTCCACCTGCTAATCATGGTAGACGTGCCTATAATACCAGCAATTTGGGAGGTTGAGGCTGGAGGATCCCAAATTTGAAGCCAGCCTCTGCAACTTAGCAAGATCCTGTCTCAAAATAAAAAATAAAAAGGACTGCCATGTAGCTCAGTGGTTGAACACCCCTGGATTCAATCCCCTGGTACTACCAAAAAAAAAAGCAAAGACTTTTCCAAAATTCTGCAGGAGAACATTAACATCAGGCGCTGTCTCTCGCTCGCGCGCTCTCTCTCTCTCTCTCTCTC